TTACTAGGCACGCCGACAATCACATAACAACTAAGCATTCGAATAAAACATGATTTAATAAGCTCAACAACAGAAAATCTCATCTGATAAAACAACCGTAACTCTACTACAACCATCCCGAAATCTAGTGTTAACCTAGTACATGAGCACTACTATGTATCAACATAGCCAAAGCTCTAGTAAAACTGTCTGAATAACAAAACGGTACAGAAAGGCATAAAAGGGAGGAGAATCAAGGTCTGCGGACGTCATAGCAGCTACCTTGATGTCTCAAAGCAAGCATTGACAACGATCTAGCAATCACCATGTCAAGATGTACCTGGATCTGCACATGAAGTGTAGAGTGTAGTATGAGTATAACCAACCCAATATACTCAATAAGTAACAGAACTAACCTTGGGCTGAAAGAAGTGACGAGCTTAGAATGATACAGTCAGGACCAATATAATGACAACACATATATAACGGTGAGAATGACATTAATAGCTCAGAGAGCTTCCATATTCAAATTGTTCACAATACAGAAATTAGACATGCTTTCAGGTTCACAATTAAAGACCAACACTGAAAAAAACATGTCAAGTATTGCCAGCATGAGGAATGTTACATCTCTATACCTACATGTCAAATATGCATGTCAAAAGTAAGGTATCACAATGATATTTACAGGTACTCACACTCTTAGAGTACTCAATCAGTCTATCTCAAATTCCCTCTCATCACACACAATCACTTAGCACTGTACGAGTGCCTGTCATCAATTCCCCTCATCAGAGAACATCTAATAAATCATTGTGTCTGCGCTCACTGCTGATATGTCAGACTCCGGAGGGGTGGATCCTATCTAAGCGCTAATATAAAGCCTATAAGGCATGCTACGACATGCAGCCTAATCCACAAGAATAGATAAGACAATAAGGCCTGCTGCGGCGTGCAATCCAATCCACAATAACACTCTCAACTCGGCTCTCAGGCCCAACTCAGTCATCAATCTCTCAAGTCTCAAGGGCTCACAATCTCATACTACTCAGCCCAAACAATAAGAACATGTAATGTAACAGTAAATGATAACGGAGAGTTAGATATGATATGCAAATGAAGTATCATGATTGAGCACATGATTGCAGTTAAAGCAAATAAATCTAAATAATAGAAATAACCTTACTAGGCCTCAACAGGATAAACACATAGCCTAAGCATGCTTCTAACATGAATTATAGTTTATTTACTCTAACAAGTAAAGATTTCACATATCGAACAAGACTTGATAGGAACACAGTCCAAAAGAAACAACCGAATCATGATTACCATGGTGCACGCCTACATGCCCGTCACCTAGCTTGTGCGTCATCCCAACACAACCCATATAACACATTTTTCGGGGATTAATACCCTCATTTCCAACATTAGAAGTGTTACTTACTTCAAAGTGCGCAACTCAATGCTCCAACAAACCCTTGCCTCGTGAATCAGCCTCTGAACTACTCGAATCTAGCCACAAACAACTTAATATAATCAATACAAGCTATAGGAATCGATTCCATAAGATAAAGCTATGATCTTTAACCAAATTCAAAAAGTAACCCAAAAATTCAACCTTAGGCCCATGCCTCGAAACCCGACAAAATCAACAAATTTCGAACACCCATTCAATAACGAGTCCAACGATACCAAAATCATCCAATTTTAACCAGAACTCGACCCTTAAATGCCCAAATCATACTCTCCGATACCTAGTCCAAAATCCCCCAAATTTCACCTCAAACATACATTATCTTGGTGGAAAAATAATGGGTATTCAATATTAATGGACAAAAGTGATCAAGATTTGCTTACCTCTTGAATTATAGTGAAATCCCTCTCATAAATAGCCACTAGCCGAGATTCTAAAGTCCAAAATAAAGAAAATGGTTCAAACCCTCGAATATATCATTTTTTCCAAGCATCTCGCACCTGCAGTTTCGCTTTTGCAGAAAAACCCCCGCTTCTGCATCACTAAAACTCCAACCTGCCGCTTCTGCGGCCAAAATCATGCTTCTGCGGTCCTCCTTGCACTTCATCGCATTTGCTCCTTTGTTCCTTCAGCACCTACAGCGTTAACAATCTAAAACTCGCCCGAGGCCCCCGGAGCCTTAACCAAACATACCAACAAGTCCTATATCATAGCACGAACTTAATCGAAGCCTCAAATCACATGAAACAACATTAAAAACACTGATCATACCCCAATTAAAGCCTAACAAAACTAATGAATTTCCAACTTCTTAAATCAATGCCGAAACCTATCAAACTAACTCTGATTGACCTTAAATTTTGTACATAAGTTGATAAACGGCCAAAAATGCATATTTTTCGGTGTACTTTCATCTCATAACTTGTGTGGTTATGGTAGGTTACATGAGTTTTTGTAGTGAATTATGCTCATTACGTGCATTCTTATGTCTAGAAGCAAGTTGGACGAAATGTGAGCAAAAGAAGTTGATTCGGGATCAAAAGACATAGGAAGGACTTTGTTCGCTCACTCTGACGTGCACATGAGAGAGTGAACGAGCTACTGAGGAAAAGCGTGAAAAAGTAGCGAAGTATAGCAAAAAGTCATGGAAGTTCACGCGAGACCTAGAAGAGAAAGAAAAAGAGAAGAAATATGCTCGTTCACTCTCACGTGCGCACGAGAGAGTGAACGAGCTAACCTAAAAAGGCTGTTTCAAAGTGGGCTTGTATTATATCACCCCATGCTAACCCTATCCCATACAAATAGTCTTCAAACTCACTTTTGTGAGAGGAGGACGTGACTTGTGGGAGGACGTGCCTTGTGGGGGGACGTGACTTGTGAGAGGACGTGACTTGTGGGGGGACGTGACTTATGGGGGGACGTGATTTGTGAAGGAAAACGTGACTTTTGAAGGGGAGAAGATGTTGGGAACATTCTTGGAGGAGAAAATCATCGAGTTCTTCTTTCCTTCATCTTTTCTTTGTAATCTGTTTATGCAAAATACTTGGAAAATTGTTGCTAAGAACATGAGTGGCTAAGCACTCTTGTTTCTAGGGTTGTGGTTGACATGATTATAAACGTTTATTAATTACATCTCTGTCAATTATGATTATCATCCTCTGGTTTTTTCTTTAATTCTAGTTTTAACTTGTGAATTTTTGTAGCTACCAATTCACCCTACTATCTATGCTATGCTTGGAAAAGCCATGTTTAGATTAGAGTAGAATTAAAGAGAGCTTGTTTTTGAACCTGTGGCTCGAGGAAAGATTTCGCGGTTAGGATAGGAATATACCTAACAGTCTTGCTCAATTGAATACCGTATTATATTCGTTCATGATAGACTCAATACCATAAAAATATAGGATTGATATATTATGGACATGCTAGTAGTATTGTGGGAACATACTATTCATATAAATTATCCGTTAGTTAGCAACCATAGATAATTTGGATTAACGGGTGTGATTAGTGAACCTAATAGAATTGATAAACCAACCACAACCCTGGAATTTTCTTCTCCTCTGAATTAAAACCTCAGCATACACGTTTGCATTCTAGATAAATTAGTTGTTACATGTTTAATTTCCGCAATAGTAGATTAATAGAAAAACATCACTCTTGATTACCTTGGACAATTAAATAATTTTAGTTTGCTTAGTTAACGATCAACCTAAGTCTCTATGGGTTTGACATCCGACTATTGAGTCACTTTATTACTTGACGACCACGTAAACTTGCGTGTACTTGGGGAACCAACAATTTTTTGGCGTTGTTGCCGGGGACTTTGTTGTTGATTGTTTATTTAAGTTAAGATTTTATTCGTTATTTGTTCAAGTTTTAATTTTTAGTTTGCCTTATTTGTGATAACGCAAGCTCTTCTCTTGAATGAGGAAGAGTAGAAGTGCAAACAATCTCCTTCCTCTTGATCCTGAAATCGAGCGACACTTCACAGAGTGAGGAGGGAAGTCGAAGCTAGAACTGGAATAGAAAGAGAGTTGGACATTGTAGTTCAACCACAACCAATAGAGATGGCAGGTAATGAAGAGCGTCCGGTGATAGAAGCAGCATGGCCCGATCTTGCTAATATGACTCAGGCTATTGTGAAGCCCGATATCACGGGTCACTTTGAACTAAAACATTACACGGTACAACTGATTCAGTCCACCGGGCAGTATGTGGGTCTATCTCATGAAGATCCCTAGAGGCATATTAAGAACATCCTGGAAATTACGGACACTTATAATTATCCAAACGTTTCCAAGGACTATGTCAAGCTGACATTGTTTCCCTTTTCATTGATGGGGGAAGCTAAGGAATTGTTGACAAAGGAGCCTGCAAACTCAATCAACACTTGGGATGATCTAGCAAAGAAAATCTTAATCAAGTTTTTCCCACTAAGAAGACAAAGTCGCTGAAGAGCCAGATTCTTGGGTTTCAACAATGATATGGCGAGACTCTTCATCACGCTTGAGAAAGATACAAGTAGCTACTCAGAGACTGCCCGCATCATTGTCAAACTGATGAGGTATTGGGTCACACTTTCGTTGATGGGTTGGACGAGGCATCAAAGATGAATCTTGACTCAGCATGTGGGGGTAGTTGCATGGAAAGACCGTATAGTGAGATCCAGATCCTGCTAAACAATTTCACTACTAATGACAGTAATTGGAAAGAAGATGGGGAACCACGAAGAACACTTAAACAAAAGGTAGTAGGTGTGATTGAGCTTGGTGATTTCTCAGCCATGAGGGCAGATATAGCGAGATTAGCAAATCAGATTAATAAAATGACAATGCACCCAGCACAACAGATGCAACATGTGCAACAGATGTCTACTTGCTGCGAGTTATGTGGTGAAGGTCACACAAGTTACATATGCCCCGTGAATCCTGAATCCATCTACTATGTTGGGCAACAAGCTAGAGGGCCGATGAATAAAAAATGGTAACACATACAATCCGAACTGGAGGAATCATCCTAACTTCTCTTGGGGTAGAATCAGAATAACATGCCTCAAGCTAACTACAATCAGCCACCTAAACCACCACAACAAGCAAAAGAGAGTTTGACTGACATGATGAAAAAGCTCTTGATAGACAATCAACAATTACGCACAGAGTTTAGAAATTTAGAGAGGCAGTTTGGGCAAATGGCTAACAATCAGAATATTAGACTTGTTGGAGCTCTTCCAAGTGATACAGAGAAAAATTCTCAAGTCAATGCATTGACGTTGAGAAATGGGAGAGAGTTGGTAGAAGTGCCTAAGAAGAAAAATGAGTCGTTTGGGATTGAAGAAGAAAAAGTGCCAAAACCTGTAGAGGTAGATGAGAAAAACAAAATAGAGTCTGAGCATACATTAGAGAGGGTGCCACCCCCTTTTCCTCAAAGATGTGAAAGAAGAATAATAACCACACATTTTACAAATTTCTAGATATGCTGAAGCAGATACACTTGAACATCCCTTTGGTTGACATGCTCCCTGAGGTCTCAAAATATGCAAAATATATTAAGGATATAGTGGCAAATAAAGGTGGTTAACTGAGTTCGAGACCGTCGCACTTACTGAGGAGTGCACTTCTGTGATTCAACATAAGCTTCCACAAAAGCTTAAGGATCCGGGTAGTTTTACCATCCCCATGAGGATTGGTGAAATTGATGTGGATAGAGCCTTGTGTGATTTAGGTGCAAGTATCAATTTGATACCGTTGTCAATGTTCAGACAATTGGGATTAGGAGCTCCGAGACCTTCCACGGTGATGCTACAGCTAGCTGATATATCTTATGTTTATCCTGAGGGGATAATTGAGGACGTCTTGCTGCAAATTGGGAAGTTTATTTTCCATGCAGATTTTATCATCCTGGACTACGAGGCTGATGAGTTAGTTCCTATCATCTTCGCCACTAGAGATGCAATTATCAAAGTCTGAGAAGGTAAGATGATCCTGAGGGTGGACAATGAAGAAGCAGTCTTCAATGTATATCGAGCCATTCAGTTGCCTCGTCATACGAGGACCTGGCCATGATTTCTGTGGTGGAGATAAATGAACCAGCCGTAGAGCCAAGTGAGTTTAAAAATGATGCACTGGAAAAGGCATTGATGTTGTTCAATCACTTGGAACTTGAAGAAGAGGTTGAGGAGATGTTGCAAATATTGGATGCAACTTGCGAATACATAAGAGAAGGATCCCCATTTGAGCCTCTAGATAGGCCAATCGGCCCGCCCCCTAAACCTTCAGTCAAGGAGACTCCAAAACTGGAACTTAAACCCTTACCATCTCATCTTCATTATGCATATTTGGGAAGTTCTAACACTTTACCTGTGATTGTTTCTTCTCATTTGTCTAAATTGCAGGAAGAAAAGCTCTTAAGGGTGCTGAGGGAGCACAAACATGCCATTGGTTGGACAATGTCTGACATAAAGGGTATTAGCCATGCATTCTGCATGCACAAAATACTCATGGAGGAGGGACACAAGCCTAGCGTGGAACATCAATGCCGCCTAAATTCAATCATGAAAGAGGTGGTAAGGAAAGATGTGATTAAAAGGCTCGACGCAGGTATAGTATTTCCTATCTCCGATAGTAAATGGGTAAACCCTGTTCAATGTGTATCTAAAAGGGGGTATGACTGTTGTAGTGAATGAACAACATGAATTAATCCCAACTAAGACTGTGACTGGTTGGCGAATATGCATAGATGATAGGAAGTTGAATAATGCTACACGAAAAGATCACTTCCCTCTCCCCTTCATTGATCAAATGCTTGACAGGTTATCCGAACAGGAAACTATTGTTTCCTTAATGGCTATTCGGGGTATAATCAGATTGCTATTGCCCTGGAAGATCAAGAAAAGACCACTTTTACATGCCCTTATGGCACTTATGCATTTAAGAGAATGCCATTCGGGTTATGTAATACACCTGCGACTTTTCAAAGGTGTATGATGGCTATTTTCACCGATATGGTGGAACGGTTTATGGAGGTCATTACGGATGATTTTTCTGCATTTGGGCCTTCTTTTGATGAATGCTTAACCAATCTTGCTAAAGTGCTTGCTAGGTGTGAGGAGACTAACCTGGTACTGAATTGGGAAAAGTACTATTTTATGGTACATGAAGGTATAGTGCTGGGGCACAAGGTGTCCAAAGATGCACCGAAAGTTGACAAGGCTAAGGTGGAAGCAATTGAAAAGTTTCCACCACCGTTTCAGTGAAAGGAGTTAGGAGTTTTCTGGGACATGCAGGTTTTTATTGCCGATTTATGAAATTTCCTCTCCTTTGTGCAGGTTGTTAGAGAAGGATGTGCCCTTCAAGTTTGACGATGCTTGTCTGAAAGCATTCAAGGAGCTGAAAGAGAAGTTAGTGAGTTTACCAATCATAGTGGCTCCTAACTAGAACGAGCCATTTGAACTGATGTGTGACGCTAGTGATGGTGCAATTGGGGTCGTATTGGGCCAGAGAAGGAGAAAAATATTTCACACCATTTACTACACAAATAAGACTCTCACTCCTACTCAAATAAGTTATACTGTGACAGAAAAGGAGTTGCTGCTGTAATGTGGGCGTTCGATAAATTTCGGGCCTATTTGGTTGGCACCAATGTCATCGTCTAAACAGACCATGCATCCATCAGGTATTTTTTTGAAAAGAAAGATCCTAAACAAAGGCTAATCCATTGGGTTTTACTCTTGCAGGAATTTGACTTGGAGATCCGAGACCGTAAAGGAATAGAGAATCAAGTGGCTGATCACTTGTCCAGGTTAGATACTCGGAATCATATAGCTGAGGGAGATGTCATCAAAGAAACATTTCCGGATGAGCAATTGTTGGCCATTATTGCTAGGGAGGTTCCATGGTATGCAGATTTTGAAAAATATCCGCAAGTGGAAAAATGCTGCCTGATCTTGAACCTCATGCTAAAAAGAAGTTCTTGCGAGATGTGAGATCATATGTGTGGAATGAGCCGTTTCTGTTCAAATCTTGTATTGATTAGTTAATGAGAAGATGTGTACCCGAATTTGAAATAAATGTAATCTTACATAGCTGTTACGCGTCGCCTTATGGTGGTCATCATGCGGGTGACAAAACGGCAGCCAAGGTGTTGCACTTGGGTTTCAATTGGCCTAGGGTGTTTAAAGATGCCCATGAGTTCGTGAGGAGGTGTGATAGGTTCCAGAGAACGGGAACAATTACGAAAAGGTATGAGATACCATTGCATGGTATTATAAAGGTTGAAATCTTTGATGTGTGGGGAATTGATTTTATGGGTTTGTTTCCCTCGTCTAGTGGGTGTAAGTACATTTTGGTGGCGTTGATTATGTGTCGAAGTGGGTGGAGGCCATTTCTCTTCCTACCAATGATGCCAAGGTTGTGGTCAACTTTGTGAAAAAAGCATATCTTTACAAGGTTCGGCACCCCGAGAGTGATGACAAGGGGGCACCCATTTCTGTAACAAGCTATTGGACAATGTCTTAGCGAAATACGGGGTTAAACATAAGGTTGAACCGCTTACCATGCTCAGACTAGTGGACAAGTTGAAGTGTCAAATAGAGAGATAAAGCATATCCTGGATAAGACGGTTAGTGCAAGTAGGAAAGATTGGGCTGCAAAGCTTGATGATGTTCTATGGGCATACCGGACCGCCTACAAAACTCCAATCAGAACCTCCCCGTACAAGCTCATTTATGGGAAGGCATGTCATTTATTGGTGGAACTTGAGCAAAAGGCCTATTGAGCGATAAAGAAGCTGAACTTTGATGCAGAGTTAGCGGGTAGAAATCAGTTGATGCAATTGAACGAGCTTGATGAGTTTCGCTTGCACGCGTATGAGAATGCCAAGTTATATAAAGAAAAGATCAAGCGCTGGCATGATAAGCATACCGTCATCGCGAGTTCGAACCGGACCAATTGGTTCTCTTGTTCCATTCGAGGTTGAGACTCTTTCCGGGGAAGCTCAAATTGAGATGGTCGGGTCCGTTTGAGGTAGTGAGAGTCACTCCATATGGTGCATTTGAGCTGCGCATATTAGGTGGCGAGAGAACGTTCTTAGTGAACGGACATAGAGTAAAGCACTATTATGGAGGTGACTTTGATTATCAGAAGTTGAAGGTGTTACTTGCCAATGATTAGACGAGATTTTGTGTCATGCAGCGACGTTAAATTAGGCTCTTATTGGGAGGAAACCCAGCTTTACTGCTTTCTTTTATGTTTATTTTTATTATATTATTTTTGTAATGTCTGTTTTTACTTTATAGGATTATAAGCATAGGAAACAAAGCCATTGGAAGAGTGCAAAAGTGAGCTTTGTGAGCACGTGATTTTTGCCCTATATGAATTACTCCCAGAAATTCAAAACAAAATAATTTCTCTCAGCGTTTGCAATTTTGTGAATTTTTACGGCATTTTCTGTTAATTGTTTGCATTTGTGTGCGCATGTTTATTTTATTTAATTAAGGAAAAATACAAAAAAAATGTGTGGCATTTGCTTTTAGGGTTTGACTTTGCATTTTTAAGAATTAATTAGTAAGTATTTATTTTACAAAGAAGGAAAATCACAAAAATAGTTATTTTGCACCTTCTATTTTTAATTTTTTGATTTTTGAGTAGTTCTTCTCTAATTAATTAGTTGTGGTAATTATTTAGTTTTATGACTTAAATTAGGATTTTAGTTTTAATTTGTGAAAAGGGAGGAGGAAAAACAATTGTTTAAAATTTTGATTTGAAATTAGAAAATTGAAAAGAATTAGAAATAAAAGAAGAAGAGAAAGGAATTTCTGGGCCAGTCTTTTAAATTTGCTCAGCCCAATGAATTTTCCCCATCAACCCGCCCAATTCCATGGCCCAAGCTCGTTAATACCCGGTCCAAACGTCAGTTTCTCAGGCCTTCCAGACGACGTCGTTTTGAGTTCAGAATTTAAAATGGATCTCGACCCTCTATTTCATCTCATCTGACGGCTGTAGATACTTCCCCCATATTGAATATAATTGTCCAAATTCCCAGCTTAACCATACGACCAAAAAAGTACCTCATCTCCTTCTTTCATCTCTTCTATCACAGATGAACCCTAACGCCGCCATACCCACGCGCCGCCGCCGCCGCCGCCGCCTTAGAATAGCCTCAAAACCACACCCCTAGACCCTCTCACTCCTCTCATATTCGCCTTAGGTCTCTCGAGTCTGGAATCCAAAATCAGAACTTCTAGAGATCCAAGTTCTAAGCCGTTGCATGTGGATCTTTGCTCTACCCTTCTCGCATTTTGGCTTGGTTCCATTCCTTAATAACGATGTCTGTTTGTTCTTGCCAAGAACAAATGGTTAAAGTTATTTGGGAACAAAATCAAAGGTTCGAGTCCCGGGTTCGTTTCTTTCTAAACGGGTAAGTTCTCTTTCATCCCTTGTGATTTTCTTTCAACTAGTGCAGTTTCCCCTCGTTCATTTTCTCTTGGGCGGATCAGAATTCATGTGGGTCTCTGGGCCCGGATNTTCAGCAATCAGGCGCCCACCTGGAAAACAAGGGAATACATTTCAAGTTCAGCAATCAGGCGCCCACCTGGAGAACAAGGGAACACATTTCAAGTTCAGCAATCAGACGCTCACCTGGAGAACAAGGGAATACATTTCAATTTTCAGCAATCAGGCGCCCACCTGGAGAACAAGGGAATACATTTCAAGTTCAGCAGTCAGGCACCTACCTGGAGAACAAGGGAAGTATAATTCAGGTTTTAGCTTTCAAATTTTAGCAACATTTGGTAACATGATGCGCCCAGCCACCAAACTGGGGCAGAAAATTTTCGTTGTTTTGTTGAAGTCAGGCGCCCACCTGGAGAACAAGGGAATACATTTCAAATTTTAGCAATCAGGCGCCCACCTGGAGAACAAGGGAATACATTTCAAGATTCAGCAATCAGGCGCCCACCTCGAGAACAAGG